TTAAGCAGTTGTCAATTTAAAGCCTGAAAAAAAAACATTTAGGCCTGAACGGGATTCGAACCAATGACCTCTGCGATACCGGACTTTTGTTGTGACTGGTCATATCTCATTATAGTTTTGGCCATTTCCAGAAAAGTTTCTTTTTATTTTGTACATAGGTAATATGATATCAGTTGTATCATTTGATTTGATCAATTTATCCTTTAGGATTGGTTGGCATATTATGATAATTGTTATAGGGGTGACTATGTGATCAGAAATAATTGTATCATTTTTACCTTCGCCTTTCGTTTATACAAAAGTAGCTCCTGGTTGTACAACTTTGTTGCATTAAACATCACTCTTGTACTTTCCTTACAATATCTCTCTCCTTTTTTCTATGTTTGTTAAGTTCCCCCATTTTCTGCCCAGGGCCGGCTTATTTACCCTAAGATGAAATCAAGGTAGTTGAAGTTATCCACGATATACTTGTATGTCCTTTCATTGTTCTGTCGCACTTTGTAATAATCGTCAAACTTTGTCATATCTGTCGCACTTAGCAATAAGCTTTCAAATTTCAATTATGGCGTTTCATAAAAAGTAAAGCAGAAGAATGTATTAAGTTGTGTTGTTTTGAAACACATAATAAACAACAACTGAACGAACAGAATATTTCCCTCTTCTCAGTTCAAGGAACGCTTTTTCCTTCAGCAACAAGTCATAAGATGACCATGGCTGGTTCTATTCTAGATGTGTATACAGAGCAGATTTCAACAAATTATGCTACTTTTAAGTTTGTGATAAAACACGACGGGCATTTGAGAACACGAGGGAAATGTAGAAAACACGAGCCGCAGGCGAGTGTTTTCTACATTTCTCGAGTGTTCTTAAATGTCCGGAGAGTTTTATCACAGTGTAATACACGGCTTAGGCTTCTTTATTTGCTTTATGATATATAGAGGTAATGTGCCGAAAAACAATAAAACACGCTTTTTCTATGTTTTATACTCTAATAAAACACGGGTTTTTGACCAATCAGAGTGCGCGTAGGGTCCTATCCATATTATAAAGGTTATTATACATCCGGCATGCATGGTTAGGCCACGAAAAACCTGTGATATTGTCAAAATGAAATTTAGAACTGAGAAATATATAGCTATGAAAAACAACAGAGAACTTGACTTTCGGCGTAGATGGCAGCCGTATGTAAAATTCATATTAAAACTTAATTTATAGTATTCAGTCTTATTTCTATTTGATTTCATTATAATATCAGGGCATGCAAAATAATTGATGTTACTAATGTTAGGTGTTATTAAGAATATTTATCATATAGCTTTGGCTTGTGGCCGATATAACGCGCGCTCTGATTGGCTAAGAGCGAGATCTGAGCGGTCATTATGCAGCCTTAATGCCCTTGGGCCGATTACGGATTATGCAAATTAGGAAGAGCCCGGCTCGGAAAATTCAAGCGCATTGAAACGATGAAAGCCGACTAAAAACATTAAGAGAAGCAAATTTAATTCAGAGTAGCTAAAAGTTTAGGGATTTTTCCTGAATAAAATTTATATAGAAGTCGTTTTTG